CCCCCCCTCAGCTCCGTCTCGCAACAACAACAACAACAACAACACAGAACACAAACTAAAATTCTCTCGCTTACAAACAAGATATCTCTGTCCCAAAACTCAAGCAACAAATACTTCAGCCACACCTAACGAATATATATATATATATATATGTCTGTGCAGTGTAGTGCTTCTCTACAGCCACGGTGACCATCCTTCAAACATGTATGCCAGCAAATCTGTGCTCTGTGCCACCTGCAGCAGCTTGTGCACGTGTGTAGGCACGCTAAGAAGCTCTCCAGAGTCGTAGCCCTGAATCTTCTCCGCCACACGCGAGAGCGTTCGCTCTGCGTCAGCGTACGTCGGTTTCCCACGACGCACACCCATGCCGCGCTGCTGCGGCGTCTTCTCCTCTTGCACCTGTTGCTGATGCTGCTGCTGCGGTGGCGCCACCACGGTGACGGCCCAACGCGCGAGCGGGTCGTGCGCGCACGCCTCGAGGATTGTCATGAGCAGCTCCTTTTGCCCGCGCAGCACGCGCAGTGTGCCCTCGCAGTGGCGGCGGAACGGCCCCTCGGTCCCCTGCACCCCCATGCCGTCCACGATGTTACGTGTGAGGCGGAAGGGCACGAGCTCCGGCACAGGCAGCAGCTTCCCTTGGTCAAAGGCAAAGCCGAGGTCTATGTGCACCAGCTCCGCACGTTGCGTCTGCAGCAGCAAGTTGCTGGCGTGGCGGTCACCTAGACCAACAATGTAGCCAACAACGCTGGAGGCCGCCACACTGCGTGTGTACGCCTCGCGCCGCTCATGCCACTCCTGCGGAGTGAAGAAGCGCTCCAGGAAGAAGTAATGCAGGGCCGGCGTAAAGGCGGAGTACAGCGCGAGCAGCATATCGTGTTTCTGTGACTTGTTGGCGTCGTGAAGGCGCTGACGACACTCACGCGACGTTGGCTCCCCGGGGAAGTACCGCTCGTGAGCGCCGAGATGGCAGCCGCCGCCACTGCCGCTGTCAATGTTGCTGCTGCCGTTGAGGTACTCGCCAAGCGGGACGGTGCCGTCAACCCACTCAATGATGCCGACCGTAGGCGCGAGTGGGACAACGTTGTACGTACTGACACGCAGACGCCGCGTCGATGGGTCCTTCGCCAGGAGCTCATTCGACAGTGCAAACACCTGTTCAATGAGGCTGTCTTGCCGAAGGTCGTCCTCGGACTTAAGCAGCTGCCGCACAGAACGGCCGTCACTGAGGACGCAGCGGAGGGCCTTTGGGAGGTTGATGCCGCCGTGCGTCGTGAACTCCGCCTCGTAGCACGCCACGCGCGGCAGCAACTGCACCATCGATGAGTACGAAGAAAACGACGGTGATGTATAGGTGAATGCGGGCAGCGAGAGTGTCGGTGGCGGAATGGACAAATTCCGGAGTTCCTCCTCCAGGATCATGAAGCCCGGCGGGATGCGGTGCACCGGCCGGTTGGTGTTGTGCACGCGGTGGAACGCCAGCTGCATGTACGCGGCGGAGAGTTTCTCCGCGTCGTCCACAATTTTCTGCCGCTGCCTGTCCTCCTCACTGCATCGGCTGCTGCTGCTGCTGCTGCTCCTAGGATCAGTAGTTGTCGTCGTCTTGAGCGCGCGCAGGATGCGGCGGGCGAGGGCGACCTTCTTCTCGTCGACGACGTGCACACCGCCACCGCCACCCACCGGCGCCGCCGCCGGGCCGAACTGGTGGCCGTGTGCGAGGGCGAGCAGCGGC